ATAGTAATTTATATATAGAACCGCGTCACGTTTCACTATGATCATTCTTCAGTTGACTGGAGAATCGTCAATTAAAAGTTATTCAAAATTAAAAAAATGTCAAATTACATATATTTTTAGTACAATTTCATAAATGCGCTGATATGATCATAAATATATTATTTGAAAGATCAAAATTCTTTATCTAGATCTACCTAAACATTGGATATAAGAAATTTCTAATGAAAACGGTTCTTGTGTGAGTCTTTTATTAAACATCTGTTATACGACAAATACGTACGTACGTACGTCGTAACTCAAATCAGTTGATAAGCCTACACTGTGTTATATAGTTAGTAACAGCGATAGGTTCAGGATAGACCATATAACTACAATAAGAACGGCGATAAGGTTACCATTTATATTTGTTGAGGCGCATAAATATTTAAAAATGATGTGAATTTGGAAATTAATTTCATATAAAAATCCAAGTATATTCGAGCAATGACGATGATCCCCAATTGCGTGTCAAATATCAAACATATGTTTAGGACGACATCTCTTTCTGTTTTGAGATATAGATAAATCTCCTTTCTTAAACATCAAGGGTGCGCAAAACATAATGCGATATATCGAATTTCCAAGAACACTACCTGTTTTAAAGATGGCATCGCAACTTCGTATGACCTGTTTGCAAATTAATGATAGGCGATTCATACGTTTGTTTGAATAAAATGGTCATACAATTAGTTGCAATGATAAAAAATTCTAGCATTTCTTAAAAATATGGCCATGTTTTTTTTTGATTTAATGTACAAATCAACTCAAAAGTTCAAGTTTCATTGAAATAAATCGATGAATCTTTCCTTGGCGACTCTAAAATTTAAATTTAAGTTTGAGAATTATTAACGAAAAAAACGATATAATAATATATATATAGTATCCTACCGCCGAGTTGCTTCCTGAAGAGTTTCGGATGAATTTTTTACAGTACTAGCACCAAGTCCTCTAGTTCCTTCGTTATTCACAAGCTGTACGGGGTCCAAGATTCCTGTACCATTACATCCTAAACCTTGTCCTTCCTTCCACCCCATTTTTTGTAAAAGCTTATTGCCCCTATTTTCAGACCCAATCTTGGTCTGCACATTTATCTCTATTTCAGAATTTGTACCAGAAACATCTTCCCAATCTTTTCTTATCGGACTATTATCAGGATGAATCTCTCTTCTTATTGCTGCCCGATCGACATATTTTGTATGTTTATGTTTAACATTTGGTTGACCCATGTATTTTCGTTTCAATCGATTTAACTCTTCACGGCGTTGAAATTCCAAAAGTTCTTTTTGTGTTGCATTATTATTATTATTAATGCCATCGAACCCTATATCTCCTTCTGAACCTTTTTGTTTAATTTTATTATGACTAGCATTCCCATCAAACTTTTGTGATATGTCAATCATTTTTCCTTCAGTTACAGTACAAACATCACAGGTCCATTGTTTATGCAAGTGTACCTGAAACTTGGTGCTCCCAACCACCAACTCATCCAAATGACATAATTGATGAGGTTTAGAACTCATCTTACTTTCTGACAATCGTTTTGAATTAACAAATGTACCATTTTGTGATCCATTGTCAACAATAAAAAATGTATCCAAGGTTGTGACAGCTGACATATCATCGTCGTCGGATTTGGCATCAGTAGCAGCTGATGAAGAACAATATATTTGACAATGATGTTTTGAAGTGGGCATTTCAGCCAAACGAAGCCGTCGATCATCCCATCTATCTCTTCCCATCGAAATTCCGTTTGCATCAACTAGTACTAAATGGCCAGATTTGAGAATCCCAGATTCCATAACCACTAACCTGAGAGTTGCATCGCTACCAGGCTCACCCTGATCTATTGCAGAATCTTCATTACTAACAGGAGATGTATAAACGATAGATGATGGATCGACAGGAGTATAAGTCTGAGTAGATTCGTCATATGCTGAATAAATACCAGAATACACATCGAACCATATATTGCTTTCTGGATGGAAAAAATATTGTGCTTCTGAAGTTTTGACATAACCTTGTGGAGGTGAAAAAATACGTGTATTTTGTTCTTCGAGTTGGCCAACGTGGTGTGAAACCGAATCAACATCAGATATATTTTTGTATTTTTGATCAGGTTCGTTAGTAATGTTATCAATTGCCGGTAAAGAAGTTACCCCGCATGTCTCCGAATCAGATAACTGCCCTTCCTCGCGTGTACCATCTGTGGCTTCTTCAGAGCCATGCTCTTTATTTGGAATAGACATTGATTCATCGGTTTTGCTCTGCTCCGGGTCATATGCAGAATTACTATCAAAGTACATCCATTCTTGATTCTGGCTGTCCCACAGTGCATATGTTTGTGCAGATCTGCTGTAAAAGTATCCACTGTTTGCATCGAAAATCCAATCCTCTGAAGTTTCCTCACGAATCTTTAGGTCTTCATAAGCTTGGAGTTCAGCTTCGAAAGTCTTGTGAATTTCCGATAGCTTCGTTTCCTGTCCAGCAGAATGAGTACTTATCGAATTCGCTTGTGTTTCGCGAGGTCTGGTCAAAATTTTATAGTCATACGGAGCATCCTCCATATTTACCGAAGGGTTGCGAGCCCGATCGTGATCAGTTTCCAATTATTTCGGATTTGGTGGTGGTGACAGTGGTGAAGTTTGTTAGTAAATAAGTAATTTAACAAAAAAAAAATAAATCGAAAATTAGCCTTATTTGATCAACTGATTTATTGATCTGTAACTGATTATCCAAATATGGGGGGACGTCTTAAGCGGAGTAGATTTCATTCATATAATACGTATATATTTTATTGAATTAACTTTATGTAGGGTCATCATATATTAGGGTTTTGTTAGGTTTTGGATAGTTATATATAAGCAAAATTGCCTTCCCGACATTTTAATTAGCCCACCCGAGGTAGGTTTAGAATACCGTTTTTTGTATTTTTCAGGTTTTCGTTTTTATTTCTTGTTTTGCTTCGCCGGCGATCGGCAAAATTATATAATTTGATTGGTTGATAGTCACGTGGTGTAAGTGATTCTGCTCCGACCAGATATAAAACCGTATAGATTGTTTCACTCCACAAATTTTAACTTTTAAATTCCGCACTTAACAATCGAAACTTTTGGCCTAATGGACGATCCAGAACTTGAAGCTATTCGTCAGGCTAGGATACGCGAGTTGCAAGCTGCTGCTGCTGTAAGAGCCTAATCATCGAGACAACTTATGCGATCAAGAAAAAAAAGATGCAAAGTGCTAACTCCAGTCATCCATATATAACAGGGGGGTGGATCAAAGTCTTCAGAAGACGATGGTGAAAAGAAACGGTAACAAATTACCCGTATTGAGCTGATCGTTATAATGTAATATGATATACATAAAAAATTCCAAGTCTTCAAAAAATGCTAAGATTTTTTAGCTGGCAAATTTTTCAGACAACAGGAAGAGACGAGGCAAACATTGGTATAATTTTTTTTTTTTTTTTTTTTTACCTATAATTAAACGCATAAATTTTTTAGTAATATTATATAATTTGTGCACACTTTATTCTAATAGTTGACCCAAATTCTTGATAATGAAGCTCGAGAGAGACGTAAGTTGTTTATATGATTTTTAAAAGAGGAACATAGTCTTAAATTGTTATCGATCAAAATTTTCCTTTGTTAATATCCGATTAATATTTATTTTTTACATGTAGTCGCAAGAATTTCTATTGTAAAAGCTGAAAAAGCTCGAGCCGTCGAAGATCTTCTAATTCGAATGGCGCAGTCTGGTCAATTGCGTGGAAAAGTAAGCGAATCGCAGCTGATCGATCTTTTGCAACAAATCAACCAACAGCAAAAGCCAGAGAAAAAAATTGTGGTACTTTCCTCATTTAATATTAAATTATTTTCAAATAGTAAAAAAAGTACTACTAATTTTGCTTTACAAATTTATCGTCAAAGTATGATCGAAATCGAAGAAAATTCGAAGAAGATTCCGATTAATGCCTAAATTCGGATATATAATCATATATCCGGATGGGCATCCTACTTTATATTTCTTTAATTCAGACTTATGGTTCTGATACGATTTATCGATTTATCTCATACAATTTTTATTAGTTTATTGCGAAATTTGATTTAATAAAAGAATATACGTAATCGAACATTATACTTATAATCAGTGCATTTTGATATTTTTCCGGCAATCTTTTTATTAAATGGAATTTAGGATCTATAGCCGGAGGCAGTGACGATCATAATAATCAATTATGATTTAAGAAAGTGTTAAAATGGAAAATTTCCGAATACTGTATCAAAAATTGCGCCAGAATTTTTCTTAATTCACCGGAATCTCCGGTATTTTACAGTAGATTTTGTTCTCTGCTTATAAACAGATCTAATTATTCATGTAAAAGAAGTCCGAACGATATCCCGAGCTGCAGATCACTTCCGGTCCAGCTCCGGAGGCCAATTTAGTCAATAAATTATGTTTACATTTTCGGTTTGTTTACATTTTTTTTTTCTCACTTTCTTTAGGTGTTCGTTCATTATTATTCAGTAAGTCAAGAGCTTGAGCTTTTCCAGGATAAGTAAGACAGTTATGCACATGAGATTTAAGATAGTTGCGAATCATAATACCAGTTCCTTCAGTTGAGTTATCTGAATTTGCTCAGTAGTATGTGAATAGATTATTATTGCAAAAATATAGATTGGTTTTGTTTGATATTTTAGTTTTGGTTATGCTAGCAAGGGAAATATTATGGTTTAAGCAATAGTTTTGCAATGCTTCTCTTTTTGTAATAGTGTTAAAGCCTCTAACATTGTGTGTTGCAATTGTCAAATGTAAATCACGATTTTGATTAGATATTGACTAGAAGATGTATATGAAGTAGATAGAAAGATAGGTATATTTGATTGTGATTTAAGATGAATATTATGTGAATCATTAGCAGATAGAGTATAGTGGTTTGGTAATATATTGTATTCATATAGTAAGTATACATGTGCTTCACTTTTATTACTATGAACAGTAATAAAAGCAAGTTCTGCTAAATAGTTAATATTGTTTTGTCGTAAATGTTGTAAGAAAGAATTAACAGTTTGTGGTTCTTTTAATAGAGGAAGATGATAATAGGTAAGAAATTTGTTAAAACATATATCCAAATCATAGGAGCTTGATGATATTGGTAATAATTTAGAAAGGTGTCCTTCTGTAGTTGCACTTGCCGTTTTAAGCCCGGTTTTCACGGCCGCGAAGAGTGCTATAGTCTGCTCTGTACATTGAGTCTGACCGTCATTATCTTGGTTCTCCATATATAGAGGCTTTACTGCCCGTTTTTATACCTCATTCCCCTTACTAACTACAATGAATGTATCTTTTTTAGTAAGATGATAGCTGCATTAATGTCTTTATAGAAGAACTTAATTGTTTTTATAGTAATTGTTCATATTGTTCATACATTATTCCTATTTAAGGGGTTATTTGTTTGTGTTTGGATATTTGTGTATAGTGATTGTTTGTAACTTATTATTCATATTTTTGTATTTAGTAATGAGTATCGTTATATAGTCCTACTCTATATATACGGGTATAGACCCTTATATGGTCTTATTATATCCGTCCATCTCGCCATCAATCGGATATGTGCCATACTTAGGATTTGCAAGTGGTTCTTCCTAATTGGTGCCCCTCAGCTCATTTATACGTATCCAACCAGAGTCAGGTACTTCTAATCGTCATTGGTGTGACTGAAGATTACAGCATACGTCCTATGCTCAGTATGTTCAATTAAGTTGATATCTCCGTCCCACAAGATCTGCAGATTTTTGATAATTCAACAATCGTCTTTCAGAGGAATTGAACTCTAAACCTGCCGCTTGGGGGTGACAACTTGACCACTTCACTAAGTCGCCACACCCTAATGCTTTAAATCTTTCTTGATTCCAGTATATACTTGTATATAGGTTGCTTTAGACTTTTTCACTTCTTGTTGATCCTTTTTTCATTTTAAGATTTTTGCTTTGCTATAGAAACTAAGACATCTCTTTACTTTGTTAGACCAAATGTTTTTTGACAAGTTCCATAAGGTTAATTTACATTCAGATTTTGAATTTTTGGTCTTTTCTGTTTTAGTAGAGCTTTGAATCACTTCTTTTCTCTATAGGATCTCTTTCGACTATTTTTTGGAGCCCAGATTGAGTTATTAATATTTTTAAGAGCTTACCTGGACCTATATATATCTTCATGAATGATATTATCTTCTTTCTTCTTTTCATTTTTAGAAAGAACTACAACTATCCTTTTATCATATCTTAATAATATAAAGTTTTTGGTTTCTTTAGTTCTTTAATCATATAATCCACATTTGTATAGAGTAGAATTATTTCATTTTTTATCTTTTCATTGTCAAAGCTTTTGAGAATTTCTTTCTCTAATTCATTCAATATTGCTTCTGCAACTTTGTCTAAATTACTATTTTGATACTTAAGTTTTGAATCTTCTTTATTCTTTTCTCTATTTTTATCAAGATTTGTATGTTTTCTTTTTTGTGTTGATTTATTGAGAACTAATTGTATGATAGGTTCTTCAATCTCCATTTTCACTTGTATAAAAGGTGAGATCTCTTTTTCAGTCTTAACAAAAATTGCGTTATTCTTGGTTTCTTCTTCTTCTTATAGCCTTTTTGTAATTAAATTTCTAAACTTAATCATATTAGTTTTTGGATCTATTCCTATTAATTCTTGATCTTCTGAGTTTAATTTGTTGCCTTTTGAAAACTTTTAGAATTTTGTTTTGTAGTTTTCTAATGCTATACAAATAAATAATATGTATTCTGGATTCTCTATTCCCAAATAATTTGCTATACATCTATCTGTTTGAATAGTAAACCTTATTTGTGATTCATATATTTCTTGTCTTTCCTTTACTGATTAAGAAAATATATCTTTAATTTTCTTTAGACTTGTTATAATTTAGTGTATCAAAATTCTTATACAAATATCTTTACAAGTTGATCTAAAATCTATGATTGTTATATTAAATTCTAGTGTGATTTTCTAGAAAATCTTTTAGCTCTTGATTGATATTAACATATATGTTATTTGTTTACTTATTGTTTTTCTATTTTTTCTAAAATTAGTACTGTAATTTGCTATTTACTTGTTTGTTTGTTTATCCAATCTTACATATTTATTGTTTTGTTGTTATTTATATGTCTTTAATATTAGATTTTTAGGGTCTAGGCAAATTTTTTAAAATTTTTAAAAATTTTTTAAAAATTTCTAAAAAGTTTTTTGTTGCTAAACTTAAGGTCTTGAATTAAGAACTATCTTAATAAACTACAGGTTATTTTAAGTGCTCTTTTTTTTACTTAGTATAAAATACCTTGTTTCTTTTACTAGTTTCAGAAATAATTGTTGTTTTTGGTTTTGACTGATTAAAAATCGCAGATCAGCAGAAAGAGTTGTTCAAAATTGACTAATCTGATCATTAAAGTTGTATTATAGGAAAAAATCTTATACTATTATAATATAACATGTTAGATCTTTGGTTAACAAGTTATCTTACTTAACTAAGTATATGAGTAGTTAAGAAATGTGTTTATATAATTTATAGGAAAAAACAGTTTATAGATAAAATAAAATATTGTCAACTTATTGCTATAGCAACACTTACAAAAAACAGTTATAACTAACAAAGTTTATAGACAAGAAATAGATTTATTAATTCAGATAATACTCAAAATAATAACACAGATAAAACAAATATATAACTCAAGAAAAATATAATAGTTTTTAAAAAAATATTACAGAAAATCAAAAATAAGATAAAAATATCAAAAATAGAACTTATTCTTAATATAAAGTTATAACAACAATAAAAATGAAACCTGTTTCTAAGACCAAAGTGTATAATAACAAGGTTATCATGACCAAAATATGAAGACCAACTGTCTTCTTGCCTTGGAGAAAAAGTCAGAGTTTAAATATCTTTTTTTAGTATATTAAATTACTATAAAACATAGTAATTAATTAAAGAAGAGCACTTTTTATTAACAGAAAAGCACTTTCTACTATAGAATAAGCATCTTTAGATAGTGAATAGACATTTTCAGATAGTGGATAGGCACCTTAGAATGATTAAAATTAGAGATTAAGCATCTTTTACTATAGTAAGAGCACTTTTCCTTATAGAATAAACATCTTTTAATATAGGATAAGCATTTTTTAATATAGGATAGACATCTTTTAATATAAGATGGACATCTTTTGATATAGCAAGGGCACTTTTGCTATTTTGAGTTTGTTTGACTTTGTTTATCCTTAATGTTGTTATTACATTGTTCTAAGCTGTTCTGAGACATCATTTGTATTCATGTATCATGGTTCAGATTCTATTTATATTAATTGACGATTCTCCAGTCAACTGAAGAATGATCATAGTGAAACATGACGCGGTTTTATATATAAATTACTATAGGTGCGAAAGT